CGGTACTCCGGAAAGGGCCGAGTATTAATTTTTGAAAACTGTACCTGCGAATTCGTGTGATACGGACCCGAAAAAAAAAAAAAAAACAACAACAACTAAACGGTCTTCGCCGCCGTGTTATTTTTTTCCATATAAAACGAATTCTCGCCCGTTCCTACTTCAGATAAAATAAACCGAATAAACGATGTCGCGCGCGCGCGCGTCTAATTTAATTCACTCATTAAAAGCGCGGAATGTCGAGTTTTTGAACGTACAAAAATATTGGGCTTTGGCCGTTTTCGTGCGGGCCGCGTACCGGTTTTGTTAAACGGCCGCGCGGCCGCGCGGGACCGATAGCGGCCGTTGACGTTTTCGGCTGCGACGCGGCCGGGCCCGCGACACTGCGGTCCGAAAGTGACACGGCGGTTGGGCTTGGAAAACGTTCGGCCGACTGCGGCGATCGCATTGCGGACCGCCGACGGCGGCGCGCGCGAACCGGGCGAATTTCGGCGTAGGAAATATCGCGTTGCATCACCGCGGCGTGCGCGATACCTGTACCCACCTACTTGCCCATACACCGCGGCCGGAAAGAAAGTGCTCCGGGACCGGGAGAAAGGTATGCACATCACCTATCGTCCACACGTCGTCCACAATGTTATTGCGTTGTTATTACTGTACCGTCGGTGCCGTACGAGCGCGCGCGAGTTCGTCAAAATTCTAAGGCGCGTCTACACCCGAACGCGCGTCCGGCCCGGGCGCTGCGTTATCCGCGGTACACGTCCGCCATAAACGGCCCCGCGTCGAATTTCGCGTGTGCGGACAGACCGCGCCTCGAGCGGCGGACCGACGGCGGGCCCGACACTTAGTAATGGGATCGGAATTTTTCCGGCGACCCGATCGGGGCCAGTGGCGCGTGCCCGGCAATTTCCAACGGCGGGCGGCCGTAGCGTATCCAGTAAACCGTCCGCGCGACGGTTGCTGAAAGGACCGGAAATAATGACCGCTATTCAGAGGTGACCGTCTTTTAGACGTGTCCGTTAGAGACGTGGAACTTGATGAGACCGAAAAAAAAAATGACCGTTACATAAAGGTGTCCGTCTTTTAGAGGTGACCGTTAGGGAGGAAATTTTAATGTAATACGAATCTTCGCGATTCGTAAATCGTAAAGTCGTTTTCTCTACGTTTGCTTTTCTTTCGTTTACTTAGCGCAGAGCTAAATAAATGAAAAAGAGCTCGTTCGCCGACCGTAGTGTATTACACGAGACAGCCAACTCCTATTTAACTACTTGAACAGTTTTACGGTGAATGATCCGACCTTTCTGTAGCCTAAACTAATGGACTCATTGTTTTGAACTTTATGCAGGTTAACCAACATGTTATGCATACGAGACTTTTGTAAATTTCAAGTTGATCGGATCATTACAGCCTGAATAATGTGCAAAAGTATTAGCATAGTATTTACTCGAAACGGTATTTTTTTCAACAATAAGTTCAACAATGTATATGTTGTACGCGTTATTACCACGCGTTGTTACCACTTGTTTGCGACGGTGGCCATTTGCGACGAATAAAAAACAATTTTGTTTATTTATTTTATGGCTGTATCACTATACTATTGCTTTACAGCAAAATTCATAAGCTATATTCGTGGCTATACATCAAATATATTCATTTACTCAATCCATAAAACGACAAAGATATTTTATCCCAATTATTTTTTTTTACTCTATAAAAATAAAACATAGGTTAACTATATCCAACATTTTATTTAAGAAATTAGTGATATGCCAACAAAATCCGTCAGTCTACTACGTGTAGAACCCTCGCTAAGAAAAAAAAAAAACTCAAATTAGAAAAGTTGTGATATCAAAAAGGGACTAAGTAATTTCTTAAATTCATCAGTTTAGAAATTGGTTATAATTGTTTTGTATTTGATGAAGTGCGATAATTTAATACAAATAATTTAACTTGGCTCGGCGGCCAAGTTTTTTTAGCGAGGTTTCACCACATTGTTGCCGGAGAAGGGTTTTAGCTTTGTACACTCCTACAGAACCCTTCAAATGAAGCCAGGGAGATGAAATTTTGTATGTACATGATGTAAGTATGAATGACGTACCTTTTAATGGTTTTAACTTTTAACCATTTTTATGCTCAGATTTTATGTTTTCATAGACAATAATGGGTTTTAAATACCCAAATACCTTTATGGATTCATGAATAAAGTAAATAATTTGGTTAAAATAAGTGTATATAAATATAATTTTTGTCGAAGATGTGTCTTTAGAATGTTTAAATTTCCAATCCCCGTCCTCATCGTGTGTGTATTAGCAAAAATCGTTTTATAAAGGGTAGGCATTATCTTGGCCATGACAATTAAATTAACCAACAATAATAATTGTTTGTTTTATTTTCATCCTTGTCACCTAAGTTACACAAAATCAATGAAAATAATTCAATTTTCATGTCAAATATACCAAAAAACCTTGTATGAGCCAAACTCTAGGGGTTGAATTATGGATAGCCGGCTTCGAAGTGCATCCCAGAAATATAAATCTTTGGTTACAGCGAAAAAAGGCTCGGGTCAATTTTATAAATTGTTCAATATATAATTTATATATTGTTTAATATATAAATTATTACAATATAAGCACATTTAATTATGAAAATTACTAAATGACAAAAAAATTAGCAAAACGCAAAAAACGGCTGAATGACTTAGGGCCTGTATTAAAATTCTCAGTTTAACTCAAGTTTAGGTGAACTTCGGCTATCAACTGAACCCTAGATAAACTTATTGCCGGTATTACAATCACAAATTTATCTCAATTTAGGTAAACTATGGTTTAACCGTTTGCTATATGTGTGGTACCACTGTGAAAAAGCTAATTTAATAAAAAAGTTATGTGATAGTGATGTTCTGTGGTGATTGTGTATCAGTCGGTGCATTGTTATTCGTTATTTTTTTAATTTTCATTTGTCAAATCTTTTATAATAATATTTATTGATAACCATAATACCATGTTCGTTATCAACATTAATAAACAACCAATCAAACTGTAGTTAATCTCTGAACTAAGCTTTACTCACCGAAATCGGTGGTTTAACAATCAGTGAGTTAACTTCGGTTTAAACCACCGAATTTTATATTTAACTCCTAATCAAGTTTAAACTACTGTTGTAATACAGGCACTTAAAGACCTAATCGAAATGCAGCAGTTTCGATACAAAAATAAAAAAAAACAAATTACATAGGACACAATTATATGAAAAAAAAAAATAATAATAAGTACCAAATACCTATTCTTCAGCCCGTGACCAGAAATAAAAAAAAATACAAACGTAATGTAAATAATAATAGTTATCAACAAAAAAGACTAATTTTTGTTCCGCATCCTCATGACAAAAATCATTTGACCACCACTGAACTGAATAACTGAGTAGTCACCCACACCCGTCGGGTTAAAAATACAAAAAAAAAAATAAAATCCTAGTAGGTAATCTAATATCGAAACGTATACAAATTTACGTATTGATGAGAAATCGGACTTTTTTCTTTTCTTTTTTTTTCTTTCAAATCCGGCTTTCAAATAATCATTTCCCGTAGTAAAGTCGAGTTATGCGCAGAGAAGACGATTTTGCGATTTATTCACGATTCTTATATTTGCCGCACGTCCCCCCCCCCC